TCGAGCCTTTGTAATAACTGGCACGGAATCGTGTTTCTATCCCCTTAGGTCAAAATATTAGTACTCAACATTCTGGAAGGACTGAAAATGCTTGCAACAGGCAGAATTAAGGAAGACACAAGTCGTGCGTGTACTGGAAAAGAGACATCTTCACCTTAACCTCATTAACTTTGTCAAGTCGTTCGATACGCAACTGCTTCAACATTATGAGGGTAACACAGCAGAAAATAATGACCTGCGGGAAGTCGTCACATAGGTTGAAAGTGGTCATAAAGAACTGAGTTAAATGAAGATATGCCGCTGAATGCTATGAATTTTATGCTGGGACCTCAGGCGACAAATGATGATGTCAAATGCTTGATGTTTTTAAATTATTTACCACTGAAAGCGAAATAATTAATAAAATGTTGATGGACACTATTTGTTTTATTTTTTTGCTGCATACTCACTTCATGAGATGGTATATAAATACTGCTAATTCAAAACAAAATATTCAGAAGTACATTTTTTCCGCTGTGCGTTAAACAACATGACTGCTGGAACTTTAAGATACTTCGTATGCGTATTTGCTGTTATTTTGTCAGCCAGTCTGTGGACAGAATATGCAAGTAAGTTTAAAACATTAGATTATATTGTTCTGTCTTCTGTTCTATACTTTCCACTAGTATGTTTGTTTGGTTCTAGAAATACGAAAGATTTGACTACATTAGAAACATCATTTCGTTAATCTTAATGCATAATTGGTTGGAATGCCTAGTCAAGAAATATCACTTAGTGAACATGATTCATTGTGATCTCATTTGAATAATGGAAATCAGATTCTACAGCCAACAGCTCCTTTTTATGCTTGTATATTTTGTGATAAAATCTAAGTGTTATTCTCCTTAAATGCGAACATAAAACACCCTATCTCATTTTGGAAAGATGTTGTACGTCCCGGCAGGTATTTGAAACATACAGCTAATGATTTTAAAACTATTTTTATAATTCTGGTGCATATTTCACATTTTTAATTGCAACTCTTCATTGTCCAAACTATGTTATCGCAGATGCTGCAAGTTACTTCCGTAAGTTAGTACGAACTATGTCCACTTACCTTTTCCTTTGTACACATAGTGAAATATATTCAGTGACTGTTTTAATCTGAGGAAGATGACTACACATAAATGATGATGTATGTGTGTATACAGAAACAACAGTTACAAAATATTTGAGAAAGTATTTTTGCAGAGTCAGAATACACAGCAACACTCTGAAGACAAAAGTGATTTTATACGATATTTACCGTGTGAGTTAAAAGGCTTAATAAATCGGCTATTCAAGTAATAGTTCATAGCATATTTTCTCGTATTCGGAGAAATACAGGCTGGCACTTTCTGTTAACTACTTTTGTTATATATATATACTTGACTAAACTGATTTAGGATTCCACATATATTCAACCTTCTGCAATGTAATTCTTATAGTGTACAGCTTTAAGCTTAGCTTTCAAAATGCTTTATTAGAATATATCTAATAGCGAAACTCCCGTTCTTATCTAATCTAAAGGTCGAAGCTCTAGTAAGTTCAAGTTGATTCGCCTCTAAGTTAATCGTTTCAATTCTGTTCAGGAACGTAAAATAACTTTTCATGAAAAAAGGTCTAAGATTACTTGGCCAATAGGTATATATCACAATAGATACCACATTCGTTTGATTTTATGACACATAGTCAACTGGTGTAAGAAAGTAGACAGAAATATCATATCGATAATTGCTAATAAATATCTGAGCTCAGTTCTAATCGGGTTTTCCAAAGCAATTCATTTGTTAGCTTAGTGAAAGTTCCAGATGTACCAACTGTTCACATTTGGCATAAAATTGTCTTAGTATCCAGTCCTCAGCCCTCAAAATGGTTTATTATATAAAGCCATGGTAACTACACCAAGTGAGTATTACTTTTTAATAGAATTTATTTTGAAAGTTTCCTGCCTAAAGTGAAACTGAGGCATATTTTAAAAGTAAATAATGGCAGTAAGCTTTCCAGTGCTTCTTCAAATGTAACAAACAGAAGCAGTTTTACCGAATAACTGAACTTATGCACCAAAAATATACATTAAAACATTTCCCTACCGCAAGTAAAACTAAATTAAAATCAGACATTTACAAATTTCTATAGCGAATGGTTAGTACTAAAAGAACTTAACGCATCGTTATTTATATAAATTATAACTGCATCGCTTAGCCCCAATGCAGTTTCAAGCATTCACTATTAGTTTAGAAGCATTGGAACGTATCAGATAATATGACGTTACATAAAGATTACCAGACGAAGTTCTATAATAACTTTTCATGAAAAAAGGTCTAAGATTACTTGGCCAATAGGTATATATCACAATAGATACCACATTCGTTTGATTTTATGACACATAGTCAACTGGTGTAAGAAAGTAGACAGAAATATCATATCGATAATTGCTAATAAATATCTGAGCTCAGTTCTAATCGGGTTTTCCAAAGCAATTCATTTGTTAGCTTAGTGAAAGTTCCAGATGTACCAACTGTTCACATTTGGCATAAAATTGTCTTAGTATCCAGTCCTCAGCCCTCAAAATGGTTTATTATATAAAGCCATGGTAACTACACCAAGTGAGTATTACTTTTTAATAGAATTTATTTTGAAAGTTTCCTGCCAAAAGTGAAACTGAGGCATATTTTAAAAGTAAATAATGGCAGTAAGCTTTCCAGTGCTTCTTCAAATGTAACAAACAGAAGCAGTTTTACCGAATAACTGAACTTATGCACCAAAAATATACATTAAAACATTTCCCTACCGCAAGTAAAACTAAATTAAAATCAGACATTTACAAATTTCTATAGCGAATGGTTAGTACTAAAAGAACTTAACGCATCGTTATTTATATAAATTATAACTGCATCGCTTAGCCCCAATGCAGTTTCAAGCATTCACTATTAGTTTAGAAGCATTGGAACGTATCAGATAATATGACGTTACATAAAGATTACCAGACAAAGTTCTATAATGCTGAGATATGTGATTGCATTGTAAAAGTCGCCATTTTTAAAGACGATGTAGTTAAGTGACTCTTTTCTTCGTCTACAAAAAATAGACACGACAACAAGTGAGTATCAATTTTTAATAAGATTTATTTTGACCTCGTAAATGTTAATTAAGGAATGCTTCTATTGCACTTATGTCGTTTTATAACAATTTTTAGCATTCACTATCGTCTGCTGCTAGAAAGGAGACATATACATTTCAGCGATGTTTAGTAATAACTAGCTAAGGTCGTATCAAGTTGAGTTACCTGTCAGGTTTATTGACTAGTTATCCAAAAATCAATGTCAATATAAAGTCTTTGTTCCTCCAAATAATTTATGATATAAAGCCACGACAGCCACCACAAGTAAGTGTTAATTTTCAATAGGATTCATTTCGACTATGCGAATGTTCACTCAGGATTAAGCTTATTCCATTAGTAGCATTTTTGTGATACCTTTCAGCAATCATAAATGCCTCTTGTAAAAAACGTACGCATAGCTAATATGTTGAAATTGAGTGACAAATATCTAAGCTCCACTAAAGTCGAGTTATATGAAGTAATTCATTTGTTAGTAGGTCAAAATAGCCAGATGTATTGACTTTTCATTTAACCATAAAACTATCAGTATGAGGTCCAAATTTCACCTACTGATTTACCGTATAAAGCCCCACGCCTAGCAAGGTAAGTATTAATTTTTAACAGGTTTTCTTTTACCTTGTGAAAGTTCAAAAAGGAATATTTGAATGGTATTCACGCCCTTTTATAACAATTTTCAACACTCCATATCGCCTGTTGTAACTAAGTCTATATACACATTACATTAATATTTAGCCAACAGTGTTTAAGTTGAATTCAAGTCGAGTTACTTGAAATAATTCACTTGTTTGCATAGTAAAATAGCCAAATGTATTGAGTGTTCACGTAAGAATGAACCTGCCTCAGTATCCAGACTTAATTTCCTAAATGATCTGCAATATGAAGCCCCGATGTCGACATCAAGTGAGTATCAATTTTTGATAGGAATTATTGTGCCTTTATGAATTTTTCATGAAGACAAACTTTAATTCCAAATTAGGGTAATACTGAGGAAAATAGAAAGTAGTTTAGATAAAAGACTGTTTTCGCCGACTTCATTTTCTATAGCTGTACAATCGCATATATGTATATATACATACTAGTATCTTCTTTGTTAAGGAAATCGTCTAAACATTTGACTGTACAGGCAAATAAAATGAATTCATTGAAAAGAAATTCTTTAATATTTGTTATCAGTCTGAATTAAAAAAGGAATATTATTTCAATTCTAAATTCTTCCACTGATAAACAAGCTTTTCTTTGAGAACGAAGATTACAAAAGAGGAAATAATCTATGGTAGTGACAATTGTTACTCATCCTTTGAGGGACCGACACTGCTTTAACACCACCTGTCTCTTATTAGTTATACAATATGGTTTCTTATTATATTAGGGAATACAAACTTGAGAATCACGCCTAATTTTTTTAAAAGTCGGCTTAAATAAAAGTCATTATTCTTTTTCAGTAGAATATGAGTATACGTGCTAAATAAATATCCATGTTAAATGATTATTTGAGGCATATTAAGTTTAAATTAGGCCACATACAATAGCAACAAGTTGAAATTCTGTAGATTTTGTTGATAAATATTAAATATGTTCGGATAATAAGCCTAGAAACATGTTCATTTTGAGATTTAGTTCACTGTCATTTTATTACACAGCGTCTTACCACACACTACTTGTCTGTACCTCATCAAATTCTGATTGACACATCCTAATCTCATGAACTTCGAAATGATTCTAACTACGACTGTACAACTATTGTAAATGAAATCGCCAAAATAGTTTCTTGAATTATATTTCATTTCACTACATTTCTTAAATAGGGTTTTCTATGAATGAAAAGTTTTTAAATCGCTCTGTTTTTGTAATTTAAAAGCGACAACAAAAAGTGAGTTATTTTTTCTATTATATGTGTGTCATTCATTAACACATAATTTACATACAGTGACAACTCACTGTTAGTTTGTAACTCACCGTGAAAAATCTCCACTGCCTTTTTTCATTCCGTACGTTCCAAGTCGACAGAAGGAATCGGGCTTTTGAAGTTTCACCAGTGAACGCGATTTATACGGGTAGAATTGTAAGCCCCTTACTCAACATACTCTCATTTCCTGGCTTACTACATGATAGAGAAGGCCTAGGAGTTTGCCATGTAAGAATGGAAGCCAGACATCTTATATGGCTGACCAGCATTCCATCATTGAACCACTGGCGCATCCACTGGTATCTACATTCTTTCAACAACTTCGTTGACCAAAAGTTTAGATCAATGCCTGTTGATTCGAAGACAACACCAACTGGTCACATTATAAAAACCGATTAAAGAGATTAATGAGAAATCACTAATAATAAAATTATTCGCCATGGGTTAAATTCAACTGAACAGTCGAGAAGCTTGAACAACTTGCTAACATATGCTGAGCGTTTATTTAAAACCTTGCTTTGTATCTATTCAAAATCGGTTTCCTGACGATTCAGTCAGTGAACCGCAGTTCTAATGTCCATGTATCTCCAACATTTGGGAAATCGAAATCAACGTATATTGCATTAATTACGATATTTATTAGTTTTTCGTTCACATGGTCGATATATTTAGTACGAAGCATAAATGCAGTTTATTTAAGGGCTATGTTCAAATTACTTGAATTATCTAGGTCTCCTTCTGACTGAAATAGATGCTAAAAAAGTTGAACACTTATTTTTTGTCCAGCTATAGTCTAACCTGTGTTACGTCTTGGTGTGACATTAAGTTATATGCAGTCATACAGAAGAATTAGACAAAGTGATGATTCTAAGATAAAACAAAGAAGAGAAAAGGGAGAGATTGATAACAGTCTTTGTTTATCAAATCAACTGGAGATATACACCCGGTTTTAACATTCAAAAACTTTTACTGATGAAGGAGAAAAACTGTAGCCATGGCTAATAATTCTTTACTTTTATGTCAAACATGCATGCTGTTTTAAAATAATAGATGCTGAGTAACCTTAGCATGAACAAAGTAAATGCTCTCATACTCAAGATCTGCGTTATATATATATATATATATATATATATATATATGCAAATCCTTTCAGATAATTTCCTCTTCAGGCTAAATTATTTTGTTTTAATAGATGTCTGAATACATATTTTTGCTATATATGTACATAAACATGTTTCGCCTGTTGATCCTTTTACACGAAACATTCAAACTCACTTAGCTGATATAATTATGAAAAACAAATGGTGTTGAAAACGTCATCCAGTAAATATTACTGTCTCACTGCGTGAAATATGCAAAAAACAGGTTTATGTGGAATCATATACTGCCACATTGGCCAACTTCTACACTTAAACTGACTATTTGATATCATGCATAACAGCGTATAAAAATAAACACTGTTAATTTCAATGGTCATACATCACATCAAACTGATCTAGTCTGAATAAATGAACGAGGTGTTAGTGTAACAAACTTGTGCATTACAGTGTTAAACGCTTTTCCTAATCCAAATATTTCCAAATGCTAATCAAAGGAATTTATTACTTCCTTTTAGTGATGACAAATATGAAACCTGCGTCAGGTAAGTTAATCAAATTGCTTGTTCCTCAGATTCCCTGTAACAAAATATGATAAAATCTACACACTTTGGCGCCATTTGCGGTTTATTTTACACAGTTAATTCATGTATAAACAGACTAGATAGTACTCAGATCCATATTAAATGGAGTTTTTATCAATCTCGATATCAGTCAATATATTTTTACTAAGATAATATCCTTAGAAAATGCAGAATATCAATTCTGAAAGGAATTACTCCTTTCTCAAAGTCATATGAAAACATGTAATGATGGGAACAAAAAGAAGTATTCTTGAGTCCTTAGCTGACTTTATTTGCGAGCGAATTTCAACAGCCAACTGTCTCTTTCATAAAATGGGCGTATTTTTTTATCTTTAAAGAGCGGCACCAAAATACAAACACGTCACACTTACCTTTTTACTTTTCGCTTTATTCCAGTTATGATTAGTATATGACTTAAGGGAAGCAACCGGATTGTTACCAGTTTATTTGTTAGTACAGAAACATACTTGAAATCATTCAAAAGTGAAGTAACTACAATGAAATGATACTTTGGTAAATAGATTGTTATCACAACAGGTATTTCCACAGTGTCTTTACATGGTTGTTTAACTGTTAGATAAACTGGAAGTCTAAAGCTGATTAGGAGGAACAGTCGACTTTATCACCATTATTATTATCATCATGTCAAATGATAATGTATACAGTCAAAGTGACACACAAATACACCTCTAGCAACATAAATCATGGAACTTGAGCTACGTTAACCAACATCAATATCAAAATTGACTTTATAGTAGACATCTTCTTGATCACATTCATTGTATGATTTCAATTACTTTAAAGTGTATTCTTAAGTTATGCATATTAAAAAAGAGATATTTTTAATTTTTATTAATATCATTTCCCTATTCTTGTTTTAGGCGGTGTGAAACAAACAGCCTACTACACTGTAATAAGCTGTGCTTTGATTGCCAGCATAGCTTGCAGTTATTCATTCTGATTCTCTTGAAAGAAGTTTAGAAAGATGAACTAATTATTGCAGAACAGTGTGTTTATGTAATGTTTCATTTTCGCTGTAAAACTGCTGATTTCTTCTCACAATTAACTTAAATAAATGGATTCTTGTTCTTTTTAAAAAGTCGAGTTGGTTTTAAAAGTTACGTATCATATGGGACAGATGAAATCCTTAGAAATAATAAGAGATGTAACAAATATAAAATAAAACCAAGCTGTCATGTGTTTTCTAAATCATTACCTAAAACAGAAGTAAACAGTTAATTTCTATGAGTAATCAGATTTATATTCTACTTATGCCTGTGAAAGTAATAGTAAATCAGTCTGCTTCACAAGATACAACGGTGTCATTCTACCTAGTTCAGAAAACCTTGGAATTCTATACTCGTCATCGTTTGATTTGAGAATAACCTGTCTAACATTTTGAGATACAGTGTGTTTTCACGTCAGCTGCGCGTGTTACCAAAATGAGCGCTTTGAAATAGCTCCATTCAAATGTTTAGAATCTTTTAAATCTTTATCAAATGAAAGCTTCACTCATTGCGCGTATCATTTAATTGCTTAAATGTATTTGGTCTTATTTATTCATCAAAATAATAACATGGGTAGATTAAAGGAGTGATGTTTTCAGGTGTTAATTTACAGAGATTTGATCGATTTCAGATGAAATCACGAAGTGGTGTTGCTTAGAGAACAGCTGAAAATCAGACTGTATTTGATAACACCTATAAAGACAAATTCTTTCTCAAATATTGAGATACAGTGTAGAGAAATAGTCATTTTGCAAAAATATCTCACTTTAACACTGTCTGTTTTCCTAATTGAGAAAATCTTTAGATAACGCTGACACTGACAAACAACCACCAGTTTAAGTCGCGATAGGTTGATTCGTTGTCAGAGTTATCTTTCACTAATCCTTTCTATCTTATTTTCAACATGGGGGCAGTGAAGGCAGCTGTTGATGAAAGTCTGTAGTTCGTTATTAGAAATGCTTTCCGTGAAGTACCAAGTCTCTAAAGAACTTTCCTGATACTAGTGTTGAAAATTCTGAATTTTTTGGCGCTGAGTACAACAGACTTCCATACTCATGGAGACCTGTCTTGCCTTCTCAATCCTAACATCTCCAACTGCGCTGCGTGTAGTTGCAGCGACACCACCCATCCAAAGAAGCGAAAGAGGTGACTTACTTCAAATTTCTCCAGCTGATGGTGGTTTGTGTTAGTAGTTGTTGGTTAGCTACCTTCATCACCTGTCTGCTATATGTCCCCTTTAAGTTCTATCTACGCTGCTTCTGCTGCCTTCCTGTTGGTTCTTGCTTGTAGACCGTTGAATCTGCGTTTGATTAAAAATATAAACCATTCACGAAGTTCAAATCTTCTAGACACTTCCTGTTGGTCCGACGTATTCCTATCTTTCCACTCCCCGCAGTCTGTCACATACTCCAGTCCACCACAATTAAGAATATCGTGGGTTATAGTAGGCCCCTTGTCGCATTCCTGCGTTAACGTCTAAGGCATCACTGAGTGTTCTGCTGTGTATCACATCTGACGTCACCAAATACCTGCCAAAGGAGGTTGGTAAAGTTTTTGGCTACTGCATAGTGTTGAAGTATTTTCTAAATCCCTTTGTGATCAACTCTTTTGAGGCTTTTTTTAAAGTCGATGAAGTTGAGGTAAATCTTCTGTTTCAATGCTATGCTCTGTTCAATAATGATATAGAGCACTGTAATCTGATCAGCACATGATTTGCTTTTCCGGAATCCGCCTTCTTCCGGGTGGAATTTTGCAACTAGAGGATCCTTCAGTCTCTCCATGACATGATGAGCTAGGGCGTGATTCTGCGACAGTTCTTGTAGGTCACTATTCTTTGGCAGTTCCCTAACAGAAGGTATCTTTCTTTCCTTCCAAACTTTTCTTAAAAGTAGTGTGAAGATTTCTGCCGAGGTTTCTGGATTCATTTCCACTAATCTTGGGAGAATTCTGACTGATGCTGCTGTCCTGCTGGCTTTCGGTAGCTTTCCGGCCTTCTAAACTGCTTTCGTCTGAGTAATGTTGTTCACTAGTAGTTCTGTTGCTATCGGTGTTTTTCCGGACAAGTTTTAGGTGCTGGCCTGTTCAGCAGTCCACTGAAGTGATCAGTCTTGTGCTTGAAAGTCATCAGTAACTATAACTGTATAACACTGTGAGACTCTATCAAAATAAATTTTACCCACAATAGAATAACCAGCCTTTGTTTTATTTATTCAGCCTATTTGGTCATTAGGTTTGCTTCACTATTTTTCATTGTTTTCAGCTGTGTTGAACTCTTCTTGGATAGTAGCTTGGTTACCGAGTATGGCGATTTGAAGTGCCATTTAACTGTCGCCTGTTCTAATTCAGTCGCCAGTGCGTTTTGGAGTTGTATTTTCGTTCCCCAAACTCCTCTTCACTTCTTTATTAAGTGTAGTGTACATTGAACTGAGTTTATCCTTCTGTTGCCCATTTCTGCATCGAGTCATCTTCTCTTTCACCATCCTCCTTCCTCGATTAGCTTCCAGGCAGATGTCCGTTGAGAGCCATTCATTTTCTTGCCACTTCTTCCTTACAAGAGCAGCTGTACTCGTTTCCTTGAATGCCACCTCCGAACATTCTCAGTGTTCTTCCATACAGGTTTCATAGGTGATGCTACATAGTATCTCTGACTTTGAATTGATGGCAAACGTGTGTGTGTCCTGTGTAGTATAGTCCTCCTTCTGGGTATTGAACATGGGCTCTTGGCTATCTCCAGTTGCTTTGAGGGCTTTCAGCTTCACCATTATGGTTCTTTCCACTAGATGATAGTCTGAGCACACATCTGCTCCCCTTCTCCTAATTGTATCTCAGCATCTTGCATCTCCACTTCTTTGAGCGGCGTTGAGATGAAGTCTGTCTGGTCCGTCAAGCAAAATCCATGTTGCTTTGTGTATATCTTTGTGTTTGTATACGCTCCCTCTGATCACCTAGTCAATGAAGACGCAGAAGTATGCGAATAATTTCCCGTTCTCATTCATTTCATCGAGCAAGAGCTTCTCAACCCATTATGACTTCTCTTCCTGTATCACCTGCTCCCCGTTCGGCTGACATTCATATCGCCCATAAGTATTTCGATGTCGCTAATAAGGATATTGTCCATTAATGCGTGTAGTTATCCATAAAAAATTTCCTGCTTCTATGGTTCTGCGTTGTTTGTGTCACTGTGCGTAGCATTGGATAGTTGTAACCTTCCTTCCTTCTGATTTGAATCACGCCGTCATGATCCTGCGGGAGGAGATTGGTTCCCGCTGCATTAGAGCTTTGGCTGACACTGGTGACATAATGACAGCGACTCACTCCCTCAGTGTGTTCGTGGTTGTCGTCTGGTTGACCAGACCGGAGTAGATAACTGACTCTTCACTTGACAATTTCGAAATTCCACATCCATTCCATCTGCTCTCACAGATTCCGCGAACTTTTATGATACATCTCATTTCTCCAGCTATCTGTACAGCCGTCCCGTCCTCATATATTGTACGGACATTCCCCGTCCCCACTGTTATTCTTGCTTTTATCGTGAGAATACACATCGACTGACTGGCTTCCTGAAGGCTATCATCAGCCCACTGTGTCATTTTGCCTGTCCAATTCGAGCGAAGAATAAGATTTTTATTTGAAAGTTCTTTTGGATTTTGTATATATTTTCTGTTTGTTAAAGTTTCTGTAGCAGTTTGAATGGTTTTCTGGTGCAGGTTTGCTAGCCCCACACCCAACCCTCCTCTTTACTCGGGTTTTTAACTGGCTGGAAAATTAGTGAGCTAGTACATTAGGTGAAGTTGTTTGCATGACCACATCAGGTTCATTAGTTTTAAATTCTTTATGAAAGCAACACATTTAAACTCTATTTTGTTACATGTAGTATAACGCATATATACTGTAATACTTTATTTAAGGCAGCAGGAAGATGAATACAATTGATGAAAACTGGTAAATAAAACATGTCTTAAATGCATTATTTTGGTATTTATAAAACCTATAAAATAGTAAACACATTGGATGATTCCGAAGATCTGTTTCCATCAGTTCTGTTCATTTTGTTAGTTCGTAATGCAGAAGCGGGAATTTATCAGCACTTTAATGTTATTTAGACGTATTCACTCACAACTGTTATATATTTTCTGTTTCTTAACATCATGAATAACTTCCTTTATTCACTCCCCTTAACGCTAAGAGAAAGTGATTTTACATCCCATTTATTTTCCTTTTGTAACTTTTGGGCTTTTCATCTCGCATTATATGATTAAAAAGGAAGACAGCCACTAGGCATGTTAGAGTTGAATTTTCTGACTTTCTGACTACTATATGTACACAGTGAAAATAATACTGACATAAAATTCAGTTATTAAAGTAAAATTACAGTACTATTTACTGCAACACTAACAACCATAAACTGTTGGCAATCTGCAAAGAAATAACTTTAAAAGAGGCATTGTTTGTTAACTCTGTTTAGGCTTTTGTGTCCACAACTAATAATCTTCATTTATCAAACACCACCATTATGCCTTGTACCTCAATTGAATAAATCGACATGCAGCTAATTTTGAGACGATCAAAGGGGAACAGAGGAGACACATGTACCCTATATTAAAGCTCAGGAATCATTTCATTGAAAACAAGGTTCTTTTTTGTTTGCATATCGCCTTCGCAATTCACTTGTTTACGTAAGTTAGAAAACACTACTAATTATGGCAGTAATAGCAATCACCAAGTCCTGAAAACCTGTTTTGGCTTATCTAGCTGGCTTAGTGTGGATGTGAGGTTAACAGTCTCGATTGCTAATAAAAGTTCAAAACGAAAAGACATTCTGCTTCAGAATCGGAGAAACTCCTCATTTAGAGGCTGGATGATGTTGGTGAGTGAAAAAATTCAGGAAGCTTGTTAATTGATATATGTCTTTTAGATGATAGTAAAACTGAGCATGAGGACATGCAATGTT